AAGGATAGAGAATGTGTTGAGCTAAAATGTGAATGACTGCATATTAAAGGTTGTCTTAGAGAAATTGTGAGTCAACAAAGCACAAGGAAATTCTAGACTAGTAAGGGATTTAGAAATGACCAGAGTAGGTATAAAGCAGAAACTTTCTCTGGGAGCTGATTGGAGAAAATCTGCACATCATGGAAGGCAGAGATTAATTCTTTTTTCTTTTTCTTTCTTTTGAGACCGAGTCTCGCTCTGTCGCCTAGACTGGAGCGCAGTGGTGCGATCTCTGCCTCCCGGGTTCACGCCATTCTGTTGCCTCAGCCTCCCAAGCAGCTGGGACTACAGGTGCCCGCCACGACGCCTGGCTAATTTTTTGTATTTTTAGTAGACAGGGGGTTTCACCGTGTTAGCCAGGATGGTCTCAACCTCTTGACCTTGTGATCCGCCTGTCTCGGCCTCCCAAAGTGCTGGGATTACAGGCATGAGCCACCATGCCCAGCCGAGATTAATTCTTTAACAGAATCCAGCAAATTCCTGAATTTAGGTTTAAACAGCATAAAAAGAAGCATTTTGAGACTGGGAGCAGTGGCTCACGCCTGTAAGCCCAGCACTTTGGGAGACTGAGATAGGAGGACGCTTGAGCCCTGAAGTTTGAGACCAGCCTGGGTAACTTGTAGAGACTTCATCTCTAAAAAATAAATAAAAAATTAGGGCCGGGCACGGTGGCTCAAGCCTGTAATCCCAGCACTTTGGGAGGCTAGGGCCGGCGGATCACGAGGTCAGGAGACTGAGACCATCCTGGTTAACAAGGTGAAACCCTGTCTCTACTAAAAACACAAAAATTAGCTGGGCGAGGTGGCGGGCGCCTGTAGTCCCAGCTACTCGAGAGACTGAGGCAGGAGAATGGCGTGAACCCGGGAGGCAGAGCCTGCAGTGAGCTGAGATCATGCCACTGCACTCCAGCCTGGGGGACAGAGCTAGACTCCGTCAAAAAAAAAAAAAAATTAAGTAGGCTTTGTGATGCATGCCTGTGGTCCCAGGTACTCAGGAAGCTGAGTGGGGAGGATCCCTTGAGCCTGGGAGGTCGAGGCTGCATTGAACTGAGATGGAGCCATTGCACTTCAGCCCATGGGACAGAGTGAGATGCTGTCTCAAAAAGGAACATCTTGATTGGAAACCAAGGTTTGACTCTGGGCCCACACCAAAAGGATCTTGCTTTGGTTAATAATATGATCCAAATCATTATACAAAATAGGCACATACACAGAAGTAAAAAACAATTGGACATACTGGACATATTCAAAATGTTTTTACTTATCTCTAAGTAGGGAGATCATGGGCAGTTTTGAATTTCTTCTTTTAAGATTCTCTGTAACTTCAAGTTTCATGAGTTGAGCTAACTAATTTTGTAATTAGACAAAAATCAATAGACAGTACTTTGAAAGTAAATTTAATCATTGATATTTTTGGAACCATCTACTTTGGGGGTCTGGTGGATGAGAGAGTGTGACCCAAAAATATGTGAATTCAAAGAAAGTGTGGTGATGGTTGATACCAGGCTCCTCTCAGGATCTGAATGGGCACATAATGTGCTTCATTTTTAAAGCTGTTGACTGTTAGAAGGCATGTGGTGGAATTATAGAGGCCATGGATGACCCATGGACACTGCAGATTTTTCTAGCATGCTCTTTCTCTCCTTTGTTATCTTACTTACAGGTATTTAGCTGGATTGATCTTTCCCCGCCATTTTAACAACAGTAGTACATCTTTCCCTGAGTCATGTGATCCAAAGTGTTGGAGAGGGTAGGCACGAAGCTCCCTGAATCTCTTTCCACCTTACGTAGCTCAGACAAAGCTGGACTTTGTAGAAAAGAAACTTCTACCAGGAAATAAAAAGAAAAAACAAGAACAGATGTTTAGAAACAGACATGCTTTAAAAGGCATAGCCTTCTATCTGAATCCTGAAATCAGATCTTGGCAAATCCCAGTACCCACACAAATTCTGCATTGTTGGTGAGAGCTTGTTGAAAATGTTAGGATTTTGGCAATTCTTGACTATTCAGTTTTGTTACTGTGTTTTTTGCCCTCTTAGGAATTTATGTTTTCTTAAAAGAAAACATAATTAAAAAGCTCCAGTATCTGATATTAATGGACAATTGGGTAATATGACAATGAATTACTCTATGCTAAGGTTTTCAAAGAATCTGACATGGAATCTGGTGAAAAACTTTGCAATTTTTAAGTTAGCAAAGTACATTAAAATACATTTTAATCCATACTCATTTAATAGTAACATTTGAGCCATATACTTTAAATATTAGACAAAGTAATTGTAGAAACACTGGCTAAGCTTTCCCTAACTAAATTCCATTGAAAGAATGGCTTGATAGAATCAGTGTCCAGGGGGCTTTGTCTGTGGAGGGGGTTTCTTTCCTTGACTCTGGCAATACCAACACTCAAACAACTTGTCCAAATGTAGTATGTCCATTATCTTCCTTCTCTCCTCCTCCGCTTTCATTTCTAGATCTCTGGAATCCCCCTGGTCCTAGAGTATTATACATCCTCCCTGTAAATACTGAAGTCCTTCAAACTCTGCCTGCCATTATACTGACCTTTCATAGACTTTTTTCCTAAAGATGTCTAGGACTTGAAGATCCTGGAAAGTTAGCCCTCACCCTTGAATCATTTCTGAGTTTTGTAGAGTTGGTTTGAGGCACACCTTTAACTCATAATTGAGGTTGACTGATAAAACTCAGCTTTAAGTAACCCTCTGGGCAAGTTCTGAGCAGGGACTCAGGGAGTTGAATGTCGGACACCACCTACCTGGAGTCTGTATCAGTCACATCAGCATTCTCTGACTAGAATCAGGTTTCAAAGTTCTTGTTCAAGAGTTTACTCTCTCCTTTAAAGATGCTACATTACATATAAGGGATGTCCCCTGGTCCCAATTAATCTACAATAAGAGTCGAATAGTATAGTCAGAGGGCAGAGAACACCACGCAGTTTCTAGTTCAGGTTGTATTCTCTTGTAACAGACTCCTTGCTGAGGGGCTTCTAGAAAAGGAATGCAATGGTCCATCTCTTTCTAAGTAGGAGGGGAAGAAGGCGTTTGTATTGGTGGATATAACTCCTTTCCTATCCTCTCAACTGTCTAATCCCCAAGTGACAATCATCCTCTCCTGTTGTACTTTCTAGCTTAAGATAATCACATATATCACACACACCAATGAAGTACTATCAATTGGAAAGGGTGGAGACAGAACCAGAAGATGGGAAGGAAAAGGCCTTGAACATAGCGAGAGTGTGTGTTAGAGGTGTGTCTTAATCTTTTGGACTAGAGACTACCCAGTAACCACCCTGAGTTCAGTTTTGTATTACTTTGAGACTAAATTGCTGTGGTAATATTTGTTAGATCCTGAAATAAGTTACTGATGTGAGAGTTTCCTTGGTGTTTTTAAATGTCCCAATCTTGAATCATAATTATTGGCACTTGTCTTCCTGAGGTGTTTGAGTCCATCAAATGTGTGCAAATTTCATTTGTGTTAATGTTATCATTTTCCAGCTTTCATCTGAAACTGCCCCTCAGCATTCACCTGCCGGGGTGTTGCTACAACATGTAAGGCCATGTGGGTTGATGAAGGTCACTTATTCCCACCAATTAGATAATAAGTTACAGTACTTCTATCTTAGGAATTCCATACATACTTTTTAAATGAAATATGAAACACAATTTTTTCCCCACACAAATTAATTTGATTCATTAAAGGGCTGAGAATTCCCGCCAGAAAATCAAGTTTATAGTAGGACCTCAGCATGGGAAGGGGTAGATTGGTTTCTCCAAGAACTTGGAGAAAGAGGATAAAAAGGAAAAACATATCAGAGTCCACTCAGCTTTTTATTTTTGGTGTTTCTAAAACTGAACATGTGCTCTTCTTCTATATCCTTCTCTCACTGGAGCTCCCTAGTGAGAACACCCCCATTATGTGTCTTCAGGATATCTGGTGATGATTTCTAAAAGAGAGATTTTATTATTAGTAGTAGTAGTAGTAATTGTTTGAGATGGGGTCTCACTCTGTCACCCAGGCTGGAGTGCAGTGGCACAATTATAGCTCATGGCAGCCTTGACCTCCTGGGCTCAAGAGATCTTCCCACTTCAGCCTCCCGAGTAGCTGGGACTACAGGCATGCGCTGCTACGCCGAACTTTTTTTTTTTTTTAAATTTTTTCGTAAAGACAGGAGTCTCATTATGTTGCCAATTTTGGTCTGAAACCCCTGGGCTCAAGTGATCCTCCTGCCTTGGCCTTCCAAAGTGCCACTGTAAGTGGCCTTCTAAAACAGAGATGTTTACAAAACTTTTTGAAATAATTTTCCTCAGCATGCCAGGTAACCACAACTGTAAGATCACAATTTGAAACAGACATTTTGGTGATGGTGGGAAGAGACGGCCTGCATCAAAACAATGTTTACTAGTTTGTCTTTTTGCCTCATATTGTGTAATTCCGAGAGTTCTTACACCACAGTAAGAAAGTAATTATACTTTGAATTTCTCTAAGGCTCTAACTAGAGGGCATCCATCTAAATGTGCATTTCCAGGAATACTGGTTTAATGGCCCAGGTAATTCTGATTGGAGAAATAAAATTTTAGCGAGACAGAGAGTTGGTAGAAGGAAGTAAAACCGGTGTGTGAGGTTTGGCCAATGAAATGCAGAGCTCCCTGAGGTCAGGAGACTTGTATTCATCTGTGACCAACACGTATCTATGATGCACTTGAAAGGAACGAGCAATGCCAGATGCGGAGGAACCAGGCAGGGCGCATTCTGTCGGTGGAGCCCAGCGGTGTAGCTCAGGCTCTCAGATAACCCAGGCGTTGGGAGGGCGGGGCTCCTGCCGGTCTCCCCTCTAGTGCGGCTCGAGTCCTGTGAAGCTACCAGTTGCCAAATGAAATCTGAAACCTCGGGCTGTATCTGAGGGTTGGCCCCACTCAGTTGTTCCAGCCTCTTGTACTGTATATTTACACATTCACACACAATCACCCTTTCTAACTTCTGGGACTCTTTGCGCAACTGCTAGGATTTCTCAAGTGCATGTGGCAACACAGCCCAGCTCCGGGTGGAAACCAGCAGGGCTCTGGAGGGGCTCGGAGACCAGGGGAGCTGTCAAGGCTGCGGCGGGGACCAGAAAGGAGCCCGGCGCGGGTGGCTGGGGGAATCCCCCCAACTTTCCACCGCAGGCGCAGCTCTCTCGGCCGTCAATTTCCTCCGAAACCCGCGCTGCGGAGCAGCCTAGTGCATGGGGTTCAACACTTCCCCTTGTTGTGGAAAGTAAAGGAGCCTCACTACCACCTTTTTTTCTTTGCATTTTCTTACTGCTGGTCCTGGGAGGCTTTTCCTTCGGAGCAGCAGCCAGTCCCGCGTCTGTCTTGAAGTCCCAGCAGGGTAGGTGATGCGGTCGCGAGGGAGTGCGCGGAGCCACCGCGGGAGGGACCCACGAGGCTGCCTGCGCCGGAGGAGG